TTTTTATCTTGAATGTAATTTTCCAGGTATTAGCAGCCAATTTTGTTTTAAACAATTTTGAAAAAAAAAATAAAACTAAAAAACTAAAATACAATAAAAATAACTAGTGCAGTGAATACTGTATAATAAAGCACTACATGCAATGTAGAGACCCTGTTGCAATCAACAAGGTATAAAAGAACAAAGTATATTTCAATTGCACACATTTGTTGGTACTTTAGCAACAAACAACTTGTACTACTTACAGGAAACAGTAACATTAAGTAACAACTGTTCTTATTGGACAATAATATAATAACACTTAGTATTAATACTGAAAGCAGCCAATCAAATACCTCATTACATACAGTAATACAATATTCATACAAACATCCATAATCAAATAGTTAATTTACATATATTACATGTTGCAGCAACCCCCCATATAAAATCTAATAATACCCTCTGATATATAAAAACCTTCCCGAGTTCTGAGGAATCTGCCCAAACCCAGCCCCAAAATATTGCACCAAGTTGTAGTTGATCAATACAAATCCAGAGAGAATAACTGAATAAATAAAACGCTTCAATACATTTATTTGTTTTATAAAAATGATTACACAGCTGCTCTCATGTTTCTTCTATAAAAAATCTGACAAATTACTAACATGACTCAGGATCTAAGGTGAGAGCACCCCTAGACAACCGAGAAAAGACCTGGTTGACTTCTTCTGACAAGATATTAAACTTTGACCTATTATATCTATGCAAAAAGTGAAATCCCATCTATCACAATAGCAGGAATGTGACTCCTGTGACTTTGACCTTTTATGTTTACTAGATTTACCACTAAACTTGAAATATGAATATTATAATAAACTATTATAGTTTCATATGAATTTAAGTTTTAATTAGAGATAAGATTGTACAGAGCAGATATTGTTAAAGTTTACTGCCGAGATAGATAAGTTTAATGATTTCTGAAAAGAGATTGACTGAAGAAGAAGTTGTCAGATATGTACAAAACACCTTTAGATTGTAGAAGGACCAAAGTTCAAAGATCATACACTGTAAAAAATAATGATACTTTCAGTTTCATTATTCAAACTAACATCAATATAGACATATGCTGCTAATATGTACCCATAATGCAATGCATAGTCAGATACTATAACCATGCAAATGATATGCAAAAGTGATAAGTGTGTAACAGATAATTTTGATTTTGTTTATTTTTTAGACTAACTCTAGTAACTCAGTACTGTCTGCTAACTCACCACTGTCTACTAAGTCAGTACTGTCTGCTAAGTCAATAATAACTCAGTATTGCTTACTAACTCTGTACTGTCCACTAGCCCAGTACTCAGAACTCTGCTAACTCAGTCAGTACTGTCTGCTAACTCAGTCAGTACTGTCTGCTAACTCAGTCAGTACTGTCACTAACTCAGTCAGTACTGTCCGCTAACTCAGTCAGTACTGTCTGCTAACTCAGTCAGTACTGTCTGCTAACTCAGTCAGTACTGTCTGCTAACTCGTCAGTACTGTCTGCTAACTCAGTCAGTACTGTCTGCTAACTCAGTCAGTACTGTCTGCTAACTCAGTCAGTACTGTCTGCTAACTCAGTCAGTACTGTCTGCTAACTCAGTCAGTACTGTCTGCTAACTCAGTCAGTACTGTCTGCTAACTCAGTCAGTACTGTCTGCTAACTCAGTCAGTACTGTCTGCTAACTCAGTGCTGTCTGCTAATTCAGTACTGTCAACTAGCTCAGTACTGTCTACTAACTCAGTAGACTACTAGTTCAGTACTGTCTGCTAGCTCTGGAGTCTGCTAACTCAGTAGTCTGCTAACTTAGTTGTCTGCTACATTTGTAGCTCAGCAGTCTGCAAGTTCAGTACTGTCTGCTAGCTCAGTAGTCTGCTAACTCAGTACTGTATACTAACTCAGTACTGTATACTAACTCAGTACTGTATACTAACTCAGTACTGTCTGCTAACTCAGTAGACTGCTAGCTCAGTAGTTTGCTAACTCAGTACTGATTGCTAGCTCAGTACTGTATACTAGCTCAGTACTATCTGCTAACTCAGTAGACAGCTAATTCAGTACTGTCTGCTAACTCAGTACTGTATACTTACTCAGAACTGTCTGCTAACTCAGTAGACTGCTAACTCAGTACTGTCTGCTAACTCAGTACTGTATACTAGCTCAGTACTGTATACTAGCTCAGTACTGTCTGCTAACTCAGTAGACTGCTAACTCAGTACTGTATACTAGCTCAGTACTGTCTGCTAACTCAGTAGACTGCTAACTCAGTACTGTATACTAGCTCAGTACTGTCTGCTAACTCAGTAGACTGCTAATTCAGTACTGTCTGCTAGCTCAGTAGTCTGCTAACTCAGTACTGTCTGCTAGCTCAGTAGTCTGCTAACTCAGTACTGTATACTAACTCAATAATAACGCAGTATAGTCCACTAACTTGGCATTGTCTACTGAATGAGTAGATCTGTTTGGTTTGTTTTCAAGGTGTTTGACAATTCATGCCTCCAGTAATGGTTTCCAGTCCCAAAAACTAGTCTGCTATATACTGTAATTTATATACGTTCATATTAAGTATAACTGCCATTTGTAATTCAAATATTTACCAATTTTCCTTGGTATGTTAATTGAAATATAAAAAAAACACTAAATATACTTATTATGGAACTACACTAGACTAGATATGTAGAAAATATTTGATGCAAAATGCACATTATTGGCAATAACTTGCATAAATTAGGACTCGTGTTAATCACATTTTCATGACATCATCAAAACTGGTGCACTTCTTTCAGATGACATAATGGTACAAGCTATAAAGATCACAACTTGTGATGACATCATTTACTTCAACACTATGACATCAGCGTTTTTTCGTGTACAGCATAAAATGACTTATCTCAGCTCTGTCGGTGTAAGCTGAAGTTTGCTAGATTTCATCTTGAAGGAGTATATAAAAGTTGATGAATCTATATGAAGGTAAATGAAAACATATTCACATAACAAACGCACAAAGGTGATAATTCAACATTTTGCATAGTGAAACCAACTGTTAGAAAGATATTGATTGAAACCTTTTTTTCATTATTATTATTACTATAATATTATATAAGGTTATTATGAGGATAGCTCCTAATATTAATGAGGTATCCTCGTAATAACCTTATTATTATACATCTTTTCCATTCAAGGATACATCATAGGAATGCCGAAATCCAAAACGTTTAGAACAGAATCAGCAAACTTTTTTGTATGGAGTCCGGTCAAACCCTGGTGGCAGCCATGTTTGTTTTTACTATTAGAGAATGCTTACGCGCATAATCGTAGGATGAAAATACCCTGTAAAATACCACAAAATTACAGCACGCTGTAACTTATGGTGTTACAGTGACAGATGTATAATAATTATTATTAGTGTTATTATTATTATTGATCATATAAACAGAAACCAACAACTGATACATAATATATAAGTGAAAAAGAAGAGTCAACAAGAATCAAGGATGCTCACAGCTTGTACACCATCTCAACCAGATTACTTATTTTGCAAAATAAATTATCCTTTCCATTTATGTACATGTTCACCCAACATATTTTTTTTGTCAGAAGCAACAAGTTGTTCAAATTGTTTATTTTTTAACACTAGAGATTCAAAGGCGATCAATTTCATGGATAGCTTATTTCAATGATAATAATCGATATAACATTTTCCCAAAATAAGTTTTCAATAAAAATATCAGGCTTTTCAAAATTATAACCAATACAAATACTTTTGTAGTCTAAAGTTATCTCCATTCCAAATTTATCAAAGGTCCAAAAAGATAAATTCATATCAGAATGGAAATATGACATCACAAAACCATAATTGAAATTGGAACTCTTGGTCATTACTCAATTATGGCACCAGAATGGTGATTAGCGCCCTCTTGAAGGCCAAGATCTGCAGTATGTCTATGAGTGAGTAGTATTTTACCAAAGACTATAGAGAAGTCTTTGATAGTCTTTGATTTTACTAACTCTATTATAAAGTTTCACTGTAAAGTATTTATTTTAGCTGGAATTAATTTTCGCTGCAAACACTTTTTGGGTGTTTTGTATGGAATTTATATCCACTGATTTTTAACAAGTTGAATGTAAAATATAGGAAATAAAGTATAATCCCTGGATTCTATTTCCACTGAATCATTCCTTCAGCGAAAATAGTGAAAATTAATTACAAGCAAAAATAAAGTATTTTACACTAATTTAAAAAAAATAAATAATTACCTCATGAGATCTTCTTCTGGTTACATCGCAAGCACTTCAATTAAAAAAAAGGAAAACTTTTAATAATTTAGTCATCATTTAAACATGAACCATATAAATATATTTAGTAAATTATTATTTTTATTGAGAATATTACTGGGTTTGTAAGCACTTCAAGGTAAAGCCCTTCAACTCAGGAAGTCAACAGCAATAGTTGATACATGCAATGTGATGAACATGCATATTTCTGTATGAATATCAGACTAAGTGTATTGTTCCCCTGAATACAGAACCTGACAGGTTAATAAAGTAAATTCAATAAATCATGTGCCTCATCCAAATTGGGTTGTTAATTGAATTAAATGTTAATTATCAATTTGATTAATATATACATTACATGCGATGTAATGAACATGCCTATTTTTGCAAGAATATCAGTGTATTGTCCTCTACGAACAGAACCTGACGGGTTAATAAAGTAAATTTAATAAACCATGTGCATTTGAATGGGTTGTTAATAAAATTAAATGTTTACTATCAAATCAATTAATAAAAACATTACATGGTTAATAAATTATCAACTACATTAATCATCTAGGATCTATGTTTTGCAAGCCTAAGAAACCATCACACTAAACAACGAAAAGCAGATCAGGCAGACGTCAGCAGGAGGAAATAACACTGAAGACACATATTTTACCCGTATGTGTTTAGTAGCATCCAGATGAATCTCTGAGCACAGCTACAACCGGCATACCTCCACTAAATGAAGTGGTCGAGAACCTAGGTATTTTGTCAGACAAATATCAGGTATGTGTTTACCCTTGTGTGGTCTTTCTTGGAACTGATCACTCTTGCTACCATTGCTGTCTCTCTCCTCCATTTGGCGACAAGTTGATGAACTGCTTCCACTCACCGTTCTAGAAACAGAGGGATACATTTGACTGCAGGTCAGATAAACATAGTGAAACTATTGTAGGCTTTCCCTGTTCTAATATGTCTACAGGACATTAAAAACTACACTGAAATTGAAAACTATGTTAATCTGTTTGAACATTGGTTGAGAAAGACATCTATAAGTCGACAATACAACAAACACCATCATTCTATTCAATGCAATTCTATTCTATTATATATTATTCTACTCTATTCTATTCTATTCTATTCTATTCAATTCTATTAAATTCTATTAAATTCTATCCTATTCTAATCTGTTAACTTCTATTCTATTTACTCCTATTCTATTCTATTCTATTCTATTCTATTCTATTCTATTCTATTCTATTCTATTCTATTCTATTCTATTCTATTCTATTCTATTCTATATAAGCCATACACACTCACCTTTCACTTTTAACAGATTCTGTAGAAGACTGTGTTTCAAACAATGCGGCTCTTTGCTTGACTGACGTTCTACCTGACTTGACCTCCTCAGGCTCATTTTGAGAGGTCACCCTTCCACCACTAGCTCCACCAAAACAATCTGAAGAAAAAAATACAAAGATTATATAATGACTAGCGACATGAGAGTAAAAATAGCTCTACACTTTCAGCAGAGCAGAGTCTGGCATTAATAAAGTCATATGCGTAGTTACATAAACGTCACAGCGGGTAAGAAATTCAACTCCTGCGTTTAGATCTTATCATCGATAAGAATCAGTTTGATAGTACAAAAGTAGTGGATTCCCTAATGTCACATTTCATCCACTTTGCCTTATACTTTAACAGTCTTTAACAGTATTCTATTAATTGATGGTAGTCTTGTTAAACGTGGACTTGGCTAAAACACTAAAACAGGAATTTCCCTGTGACTGTTTACAGAAAAGGAAGAGTAAAAAACTAAAGGTATTTGTGCCTCCAACTAATTGTAAAATTATAAATCTCAATCGTAGATATTTTTATCAATTCAAAATGGCCGCCAAATTAGCTACAAATCTGTGTTCATTCCTAAGGTATAGACATAAATACCATATAACCCAAGTAAGGGTAAGTTTCATTTCATCCGGTGATAATACCTAGTATATTTCTATTTCTCATGACGATGGGCCTATGATTTTTTAAATACATTGCATTTACATCCATCATGTAATTTCAGGGTTTTTTAAGATGCCCAGCCAAAACGTCTGAAAAATAAAATACCTTTTCAGGCCTTAAATACATAAGCCTCATAAATTACAATTAATTTACAAGATAAATATTCACCTGAATATTGTAAGGGTGCTGCTGGGTTCCACCTTGCTGCAACATTCCCCCTTTGTCTAGGCCTCGACCCCCTTCCTCTATGGAAAACGGATCTCTCCCTCATTGGTAAATCCAAGGAGGTTGGCTTCTGCAGTAAACCATGAGTAGCACCATGATTTGAACTTTGACCTTTCAGTAGCATAGATGACCTACTGCAGGCGGCACCTCTTGCAGTTGGAATGCTCGAGTCGAGCGAGTACTGAGTGTTGTACTTCCTTCCAATGGCACCTTGGCTGGCATGGTTTAGAGCAATTATTCTATCTTCTATGCTCAGCACCTGTTTTATAAAACATTGCATTAATTTTTGACAATTGCATGAATTTTTTGGGAAACATACAAACAACAACAGACAAAATAAACAATATTTATAAATTAAATCAACAATAATAACAAAAACTTACTCGTTTTGATACAAACTGGATAGGAAAGCACATTTTGAAAGAAAGAAATACAAAACAAAAACAACAAACAATTACAGATGCACATATAAAAACATAACATATGAAGTGAAAAACTGACATGAAAAATGAAATTATAAACAAAATCATATCAAACAAACTGTATTACATGTATCTATGTGAAGACCAGCGCCCTTAAGGACAATGGGAGAACATTAAAAAAAACATTGTATTTGCTCTATTAGTAAAAAAATACTATGATCAAAATAAGTAATATTTTAATGAGGAAGAACACAAAAATTTACATTTGTATTGAAGATGTGCTTCTGATAGAGCAATTACAGTCAGTATTCACTAAGACAAAAAGATCATTTGCAGATCTTGGATGAAAGTGACTACATTGAAATTTTACCTTTCATAGGAAAAAAATTACTTAGTTAACCAGTGGCTTTAGCCTCTCATTTGACAACATTAATTGGGATAACAGATGACCTATCACATTCTATCTTTATTCAGCATCGTAGGCAATATTGTCAATAATAATTTGTCATCTTAAGGTAGAGATGCAGGTTCGTGGGCACAAATTTTTTTTTTTTGCTTTTTATTATCCAAAAAGTCTTGGCTATAGAAATTTTGTAGAATTGTGAATAGTGGAACATACTCAAAAAACGATTTTAAAATATAGATAACAGGTGCAAACATTATCTCTTTTGAATGCAAGATTTAGCAAGGTTGTACATAAATAATAATAAAAAAACATGGTGAAAAAAAGAAATGACGGGATCTCCATATTATGCACTATATTTAACTTTTAACAAGACGAAATTTGAAACTGTAACAGCCATTTTAATTATGAGCATTAGCAAACTTCTTACTGAGTGAATTGTTATGCAAATTAGCAATTATCTCAGCTTCTTTTTAGTGCACATTCCAGAACTTTAAAAAAAAATAGCTCCTAGACGCTTTGACTTTTTGTTTTGAAATTTTCACAAATGATTGACAATGTGTTTATCTTCAAAACACTGCCGGGGCATTGTTTTTGGTTGAACAGTGTTACAATAATCGTACAGACAACTAGCCTGGATGTTAATTTATGCATAAAATTGAAGTAGTGAAATTTGAGCTGCTGCCCTACAAAATTGACAACTGGTAGACAGTTTTAAAGACGACACTTTCTTCATAGTAAACAGATGTACCCATAAACCAATTTTGACAGAAGCATGGTTTAGAAGCATGGTTTTAAATCACTTTTGACCAAAAAAGCACATTTTTGTGCATATTTCAAACTACAGTGTCCATAAAAATAAAATACTAACAAAGCTGTTCACTCTGTGCTACTTGTGCAATAGCTAACGCTACTTTGTCTTCCAAATCAGTTATTTGATGTTCAGGGGAGTCTGGACTCCCTAACTTACCTGCTGTTCACTCTGTGCTACTTGTGCAATAGCTAATGCTACTTTGTCTTCCAAATCAGTTATTTGATGTTCAGGGGAGTTTTGATCAATCTGATCCACCTGGCCTTCCAAGATTTGAATTTTCTCCTCCAATGAGAACACCCTTCCAGCAGACATGTACACCTGTAATGTGAATAAATTAAAATATGTCACAGCTAATTAAACATAAATTTTTGCTGATTCAGCAAAAAAATCAAACCCAGCGTATATATTTGTTTCACTTTATTTTACATTGGGCTCATCAAAAATCAGTACAAATAAATTCCATACAAACACTCAAAATGTTCTTTCAGTGAAAATTAATAATTGAAAAATAATTATTTTACAGTATGGTAGATGAGTGATATTATAGAAATGTGAAACTTACTCGTTCTTCAATAGTGGCGACCTCTTCATGTACTTTAGCACTCTGGCTTTCATCAAATAGTATATCAGGTTCATCTACTTGCAATCTCGTTAACATCCAAGAATTATCTGCTAATAATTAATTAACAATGAAGTATGAATAAAGAGTAACGATATGGAAAACTACTAATGTCAACCAATTTAAAGAGAAGTCTGTAAAATCTGTATTAGAAGCCGCAGTTTCTATTAAAATGGTACAGTAGAGGGGATGCGGCTTCTATTACAGATTTTAAGATACTTAGTTGTTGCTCCATGTATTTCCCACAACCCCAAAGTAGATCTAGATAAGATGTACACTGACTTTGACTCAATGGAATATTTATTCTATTCATAACAGTAGTTTAAACCTTGGTCTCTCTATTGTATTTGTTTATTTGTGCAATAACCATTGAAGTTATCACAAATATATTGCACATGCATGGAAAAAAATTAAAACCAAAATTTTGGCTGGTAAATTATGTTGCTCAAATAGTTGGGAACACCATTGAAATCTTCACAAAGTATTTCAATACCATTTTCACTGATGAGTGAAATCTACTACATAAAAACCATTTGAATATGTAAAATACTGTTTCACTGGAAGTCTGTGAATCACAGTGACTAAACTGTAAACTGTTTAATTTTCACTCCTGAATCACAATCTCGGGATCTTATAGCATTTGTGAAGAATTTTTTTTTTGCAAAAGTCCATGTTGTAGCATCCAGACAAATTTTCACTGAAACACAACTTTACAAAATTAAAGCGTTTTACAGTATGTTAAAAATAGTGAGAATTAAATGCTTTTACAGTATATTTATCTACCTGGTTTTATTGGACTGGAATCATTGGAACTTTCTGTGATGTATAATTCTGCTAATGGCTCTGGTTCTTCATCTCTGTCTTCTTCATCCTCGCTATTTGCTCCACTTTCATCATTTTGTTGTTCTTCTGTGATGAATTTTTCAGTGGAAGTGATAACTTTAAGAACAGTATCCGTAATCATTCTGACAGCAGTTGCGGCACTTTTCTGGAAAAAAAAATTTTTTTTTTTATATTAATATACTTTGTCATGATTTTCTTCAATTCATGATATTCAGGTTTGTATCCAGGTTCTAAATGCAAATGTTTCCAGTTTGTTGTGTGGCACATGTTGCGTATATGTCATGTGTAATAACCGATTTCTAAGAACCTGTTGTACACACGCAAAGATGAAATACATTGTTGTTCACTGCTGGTATTGTTATTAAACATGTATGATTTTCTGTTAAAGAGTGGTTAGTCGTCGCACGAGACATATGGGTCTCATATAAACAAAGATGGCGACTTTGACTGTTGCTCAGATCAACGTGTACGAACTGAGACGTTACCAAGCTTTAATTAGGTATTTAACAAAGCAAAGTTGTGTTTCTCAAAACAAAAATTAAAACATGACTAAAGAACAAATGAGAAAAACATCAATTCAATAAGATATAAAATATATTTAATTACTAAATTTATTAACAGGTGTACACTTGTTACAAAATGCTAAATTTGTAGTAAGCTACTGAATGGCCTTGATATAACAATATGTAAAATGAAGTTGAAGGGCGGTCGTAGTCGCGCAGCGTGTGTTCAGATTTCATGTAAATAAACAATGTATTTTACAAGCGTTGTATACGTCGCTATGAGTCCCATATCGAACAGGACGCGGCGTGACGACAGCCGCCCTTTAATATTAAAATCTGTGTATCATCAAGCTTCATTTAAAATTCCTGTTTCATCATTTAATTGTGTTCATCCAGTAATGAATGTTATAATTGAAATGAGAGTGCAACAACACTTTAGCTACAGTCATCGTACCATGTTGTGTTTAACCGCACAGCGATAGTTAATGTGCATGTGACATACCTGGTTTTTTTTTACACAAGAATAAAAAATGTGCTTATAATTAACCATAAAGGGGAATAAAAAGTAAAGAATTGGCATACTTCACTTTCAGCACTGTCGACAGTGGCTTCTAGAAGTTCCTCTTCTAATGCCTGAACATCTTCCACTAACTGCTCCTGAAAAACAAATAGAAAAAAGTAATCAATGACGAGAATAAGAAAGGACATTTCTGACAAATAAAAAATTTCCTTATAGCAGGCCCAAATATAAACTGATCAGAAAACAGTTTTCATTGCAACATTGCAATATATTTCTACGAACATTGCCATCATTATTTGTTTTGACTTTAGCAATTCCAAGACTTTCAATTCCAACAATTAATGCTTGAGAATACAACCATTTTCCCTTGTGAATAACAAACAACATGAATTATTGAATGAAATAAACGCTCTGCTGTCTATAATATTTTATGAAATGTGGCTGTTTTGCTTAAACACTTATGAGGGCTGACAAAAAAAAACAGAAGCCTGGGTAATCAAGTATACTCTTAAAGTAGGGATACGAGCAAAAGGACACACAAAGTTTGTATTGCCTCCATTCAATAAAAAGATAGACTACCAAACCTAATGTGATATACATTTTGTAACTTGCCGAGTTATTAGTCGAATAGTCATTGGGATTGTACAAACAACCCTCCCAATGTGAGCAAATACAGTAACTGTAAATTACTTTATTTTCGCTATTTTCACTGAAGGGATAATCCAGTGAAAACAAGGCATGCATGGCACAGTCCCCGTTAGTTATCAAATTTAAGATAAATAGTTTTGTTCATAGTAATATAGCTGGAATATAACCATGTCAGGAATATGATTTTTTTAACATTAAAATGATTGACATTTGTATCTGATCGTCAAACAAGTACTTGTCCATATTGAGAGATATTGCTCTGGAACAGCATTCAAAATCAGCCATTTTGAATACATGTTTATTTATATATAACATGATGTATAACGAATATATAAAATTTGAATATAATCAGTCAAAGCATTTAAGAGATATGGCTCTAGAAGCCCAATCATTAATACAAAATGGCCGCCAGTCAGCCATTTTTAATCAAATCTGAAAAATAAAATGACGTGCATCAGGAACCTGTAATGTCTAATGTGTGTTATAAGTTTGAACAAAATCCATCCATAAATGCAAGAAATGCTTGATATTTGAGAATTTTTTTCGCACAAAAATAGCCACTTTGAAAAGGATCGTCAAACCAATATATTAGTATATCTGTGACATGATGTATAATAAATTTGAACATAATCAGTCAAAACAAGTCAGAGATATGGGTCTAGAAGCCCATTCATTAAAACAAAATGGCCGCCAGTCGGATGCATACGCAGTGATGAAAGAGCAGTGACACAAGTGGAATATATATATACCAGGAAGTGATGGTAAATGAGGCAATCACAGTTGGTGAAAAACGATTTTGGAAAACAGTATAAAAGAAGATAAAAAAAATTTGGGGAATAGCACTATTCCCTTTAATTTGTTTTTAATTTTGAAAATACTGTGAAAATTTGCCCATTTTCCCCTTGAAATGTTTTTTCTGCATACAAAATGCATGGAAAGTTTCTCAAAAGACAAAATTTCACTGAGAAACTACAACTGAATCTAAGACAAGCAGCCTCTCGGCTGAGATAGCTCCGCTGTTAGCAATGCACATTTCGATTAAAGAACAGAAGATATCATTAGAAAATGAACAATATGCATAGTATCAATGCAATGGGACTTGCTGTTTTCAACAAGAATTCAAAAATATCATTTTTGATCATAAATGATTGTGGTTTTTAACAAGAAGAAAATATCACTTTTTACCAAAAATGACAAAATATTCATCAAAATTAGAGAATTGAAGATATCATCATGAAATGAACAAATTTGAGAGTGGTGCATATGTAGTATCTATATATGTAATATCAAAGCAATTGGACTTGTGGTTTTTAACAAGAAGTTGAAAATATCACTTTTTACCAAAAATGACAAAAATATTCACCAAAATTAGAAAATTAAAGATATCATTATGAAATGAACAAATTTGAGAGTGGTCCACATGTAGTACCCATATATGTAATATCAAGGCAATTGGACTTGTGGTTTTTAACAAGAAGTCGAAAGTATCACTTTTTACCAAAATGACAAAATATTCACCAAATTTAGAAAATTAAAGATATCATTACAAATGAACAA